TGGTCAAAATCAAAGGTCAAAATTGGTCAAAATGTTTAAACTGAATCCAGGTAGACCGGGACTGGAGTGAACTTGTTCTGAGTTCCCTGACGCACTTCCGAGTGCCGAGTGCCGACTGAGTCCGCTCCAATTCCTATCCAAGTTTCCCAAATTCCCATCCCATTCTAGTACCGTGAAGCTGGCCCGCCGATTCCAGCACACTTTTTTTAAATGTATACAAAAAAGTGTGCTAAAAGTGTGCTCTTTATAACTGCTATTAAAAAAAAATGTGCTCTTATAATAGTTATGCTATAATCAATTGTATTTGGGCGGGCCAGAATCACGACAGGCCCGCCCATTTCAGCTACAGATCTATAAACCATACCAAAAAACTGTGCTGAAAGTGTGCTCACAGGAATCATTAATTAAAAAAAGTGTGCCACCCCCGTTACTATACAAACAACCCCTAAATGGTAAGGGTAATAAAATGACCCAGCCCGCCCATTTCAGCTACAGATCTAAAAACCATGCCAAAAAACTGTGCTAAAAGTGTGCTCACAGGAATCATTAATAAAAAAAGTGTGCCGCCCCCGTTACTATACAAATAAGCCCTAAATGGTAAGGGTAATAAAATGACTCAGCCCGCCCATTTCAGCTACAGATCTATAAACCATACCAAAAAACTGTGCTGAAAGTGTGCTCACAGGATTCATTAATAAAAAAAAGTGTGCCGCCCCCGTTACTTTACAAAAAACCCCTAAATGGTAAGGGTAATACAATGACCCAGCCCACCCATTTCAGCTACAGATCTATAAACCATACCAAAAAACTGTGCTGAAAGTGTGCTCACAGGAATCATTATTAAAAAAAAGTGTGCCGCCCCCGTTACTATACAAATAACCCCTAAATGGTAAAGGTAATAAAATGACTCAGCACGCCCATTTCAGCTACAGATCTATAAACCATACCAAAAAACTGTGCTGAAAGTGTGCTCACAGGATTCATTAATAAAAAAAAGTGTGCCGCCCCCGTTACTTAACAAACAACCCCTAAATGGTAAGGGTAATAAAATGACCCAGCCCACCCATTTCAGCTAGAGATCTATAAACCATAACAAAAAACTGTGCTGAAAGTGTGCTCACAGGATTCATTATTAAAAAAAGTGTGCCGCCCCCGTTACTATACAAATAACCCCTAAATGGTAAGGGTAATAAAATGACTCAGCCCGCCCATTTCAGCTACAGATCTATAAACCATACCAAAAAACTGTGCTGAAAGTGTGATCACAGGATTCATTAATAAAAAAAAGTGTGCCACCCCCGTTACTATACAAATAACCCCCAAATGGTAAGGGTAATAAAATGACTCAGCCCGCCCATTTCAGCTACAGATCTATAAACCATACCAAAAAACTGTGCTGAAAGTGTGCTCACAGGATTCATTAATAAAAAAAAGTGTGCCGCCCCCGTTACTTTACAAACAACCCCTAAATGGTAAGGGTAATAAAATGACCCAGCCCACCCATTTCAGCTACAGATCTATAAACCATACCAAAAAACTGTGCTGAAAGTGTGCTCACAGGATTCATTAATAAAAAAAAGTGTGCCGCCCCCGTTACTTTACAAACAACCCCTAAATGGTAAAGGTAATAAAATGACTCAGCACGCCCATTTCAGCTACAGATCTATAAACCATACCAAAAAACTGTGCTGAAAGTGTGCTCACAGGATTCATTATTAAAAAAAAAGTGTGCCGCCCCCGTTACTATACAAATAACCCCTAAATGGTAAGGGTAATAAAATGACTCAGCCCGCCCATTTCAGCTACAGATCTATAAACCATACCAAAAAACTGTGCTGAAAGTGTGCTCACAGGATTCATTAATAAAAAAAAGTGTGCCGCCCCCGTTACTTTACAAACAACCCCTAAATGGTAAGGGTAATAAAATGACCCAGCCCACCCATTTCAGCTACAGATCTATAAACCATAACAAAAAACTGTGCTGAAAGTGTGCTCACAGGATTCATTATTAAAAAAAAGTGTGCCGCCCCCGTTACTTAACAAACATCCCCTAAATGGTAAGGGTAATAAAATGACCCAGCCCGCCCATTTCAGCTACAGATCTATAAACCATACCAAAAAACTGTGCTGAAAGTGTGCTCACAGGAACCATTAATTAAAAAAGTGTCCCCGCTACCAATCGTATGTAATTTAGCTACACATCATGGTGGAAGGAAAAAAACAGATACACATAGTCTGGATAGTCAACCTGCCTGCCACCCCAGCAGCTTGTAAACTATTTAAGTGCTACAGAATTAATGATTAGCCATGGCCCAACTGCGACTTTAAATGTCATATTATTTTTGTTTTTAATTCAAATGTCAAGAAAATAAAAGTGTTTATATACGAAAAGGAGCATTATGTAACTTTTTTTATTTTGGTTTTAAACGAAAGGAATATTGTTTAACATATTTTAATACTAGCTGTACCCGCGGGCTTTGCTCCGTTTAACTTCACAAGTTAGCTCGTTCGCATGGCTCAATCACGTCCCGAGAGGTTCAGTCTGGGCCCCACTTAATAATTGAGGCCTTAAGCGATGAAGAGAGTGCTCCCTGGATGACATCCCAAAAGAAATACGGTACAGTACCGTATTTCTTTTGGGATGTCATCCAGGGAGCATTTCACGTTTGTTAACACCCCTACATCCATTCCACCGTTGTTAAACCTCTCTTCATCGCTTAAGGCCTCAATTATTAAGTGGGGCCCAGACTGAACCTCTCGGGACGTGATTGAGCCATGCGAACGAGCTAACTTGTGAAGTTAAACGGAGCAAAGCCCGCGGGTACAGCTAGTATTAAAATATGTTAAACAATATTGCGGTACTCTGATAGAACATTCACACTTAGAGGAGTCGTCGTGTTCATACCTCCTGCAAACGACAATCACGTGGGGGTGGGACACTACATCATTAGCATTAAGAAATGACAATATTTGGGAGTTGTACGATGACCTTAGAGATAAAGTCATCACACGTTCTGAAAAAACAGAAGTAATTGTACATATTTTGTTGTACACAATCTAAGGTCAAAGTTTTTATAACACAATCCCACAACCAAGACTAATTTTGCACCAAATTTAAACCCATGAGTAAGTTGTATTCAATGACAATAATGTAAAATGTTGATAAAATAATACACAGGGAATCTAGTAGGAAACTATTTACTGAGAGGATAGGATGTATTTGTTAAAACTACATCAAGAATAATGGTTTTTTTTCTAGGAAACAAGTTATTAACATCAAATTTTGTCTGTCATTATTTTCAAATCTTTATTCTATTTTTATAAACTGTTGTTGCTATTATGCGTGGTAGCGGTCACGACTCATGTGCGATAGCCTCTGCCATAAAATATTGTAAACAAATGTTATTCTGTTTAAAGTTCAAGAAGGATACCACTTTAATTGATTACCACTACCGGTAACTATACATTTCAAAAGGAAAAATATATTTTTTGCACTCGAAAAAGAACCTTAGACACTCGTTTTAACTTAGTACTTTTTATTTCCCATCAAACGAAATGCCTCTAGCATAGAAAAGTACACTAGTTCTGTTCAAAACATAAACCAACATGCATACACTTGGGAAATATTTTTTTATATACAAAGCCAGGCGGCCAGGCACATTCCACCATAAATTTGAACAGATTAATTTTTATCTTTACTTTACGAAGAATTCTTCTAAAACTAGCAAGCTTATATTTTACTGTAGCATACTCTAGTAATCTTGATAAATTTAAAAAATATTTATTTCAAACTTATACTCCTATAATTGTTTATTCCATGTTGTAGGGTACCAGTTTCTTGTCGTAAAAAATTTATTATGTACCCTAAATTACTATCGCTAGCCTGGATACATTTACCGAAACTGAATGCTGTGGTTTTAGACATTGACAAAATTATTAAATGCTAAGCTTTAACCCTTCTAAGGGAAGTATTGTATCCATGTTTAAGATTATGTTTGTTATAATAACTTGGTTATTTGCAGCAACTATACGAATAAATATATTCCCTTTATTCATGGGACTTAAGTTTTTTATTGAAACCTTTTATTCTTTTCTATAATAATCATCTAAGTTATTGGCTTACAATTCCTATGCAAAATTAGGGTGTGCTAAATCAATTAAATTGGCGTTAATCAACAAATAATGCATACACAGAGTAAGATAAAAGTAGTTCAAAGAAGGAAGTAGGCCTACAAAAATCTCACGATGGTGTAGACAGGATTCTTCATTTTATTACTCTTGCCAATTAGGGGTTATTTTTTTACTAACGGGGCGGCACGCTTTTTTTTATTAATGATTCATGTGAGCACACTTTCAGCACAGTTTTTTGGTATGGTTTACAGATCTATAGCTGAAATGGGCGGGCTGGGTCATTTTATTATACCCTTACCATTTAGGGGTTATTTGTAAAGTAACGGGGGCGGCACACTTTTTTTTATTAATGATTCCTGTGAGCACACTTTTAGCACAGTTTTTTGGCATGGTTTTTAGATCTGTAGCTGAAATGGGCGGGCTGGGTCATTTTATTACCCTTACCATTTAGGGGTTGTTTGTATAGTAACGGGGGCGGCACACTTTTTTTTATTAATGATTCCTGTGAGCACACTTTCAGCACAGTTTTTTGGTATGGTTTATAGATCTGTAGCTGAAATGGGCGGGCCAGTCGTGATTCTGGCCCGCCCAAATACAATTGATTATATCATAATTATTATAAGAGCACACTTTTTTTTAATAACAGTTATAAAGAGCACACTTTTAGCACACTTTTTTGTATACATTAAAAAAAAGTGTGCTGGAATGGTCGGGCCAGCTTCACGTCACTTCCCATTCTACTAATCTCATTCCTGTTCCTGTTTTGTTCTTCGCTATCGTTTTCGGTGACTTTACTATCGCTATCGCTTCCCTCGCTCCCTAGTCCAGTCCCAGTTCCCAGTTCCCAGTCCCTGCCTGCTCCTCTTCTCTTCTCATCGCGCGCTTCGGACTTCGGAGTAATATTATTTTATAATAATTGGCAATTGCATATTGGTCACGAATTAATTTTCTCACGTTGTTATTTTTATAGAATGGATAGTTAGTTAAGCAAGTAAGTGATTTTTTTGTAGTAATTTTGTTTTAGCCCTATCGAGAATAAAACTAGGTAAGTTAGGTAGGCATACCCTAGGTTTAATGAATTTTGTTTACAGTGTCGGCCATGTCAACTTGCAGGCTACTGTACTTGTTAATTTCGGCTCAGTTTGTTTAATAAGGTTGAATTGAAACACGTAGTACCTACGCTAAGTTATTTCATCAAATAAGCTCTATAGATTACCCCCACTAAGCATATCACCACTTTTCCTAACAGATAAATTTATGTAGGATCTTTTTAAACATAGGTTTACTTTTTTAGGCCTAGGCTTGGGGGTATAACTTTTAGAGTAAAGCTCCAGTTATAACTTAATTGAAGATACTTCGGTCTTTAAACTTAGGCCTAAGTACAGAATCTGTGAATCAAGTGACGAACAAAAACCATACCTAAGTTTAACTTAAATCATTGACGTCGTTAAACCTAGGCTAGGCCTGGTAAACTCTGTAAGTTAGTGCAACAGACCCGAGCAATAGCATAGGTTTGGATGGTGCACATTTTAATAAACTTAGGCGGCAATTATTCCGTGGATCTAGCCTAGGCCTAGGCCTAACTTTCAATTGGTTAACCCTCCGAGTGTTAAGCGTCACGTAATCGACGCACAACACACCCGCCGTGGTGTTATGCGTCGCTTTGGCGACCCACAAACATCGTTTACGGCGAAGGCTCTGGGACTGACTGAATCAGATTGAACTGGATCGAGATTGGTATTGTTGTTTTCGGCATATTCTGAGCTTTCTCCTGATGTCTGTTTCTAGACGCTATTCATTTTAGTTCCGAAAATATTGTAGCAGACAGCTGACGTGCGTATTTCTAAACAACTTGATTAACCTCGCACCGATGACTGATGTGTTTTATTACGTTTATCATGGTTTTAGTGTTAAAAATCACAAGATATACGTGTTGCATTATAAGAAGATTTAAGTGATTTTGAAGGGCTGGTTGATGATCCTGAAGAAGTAGGTAAAGTGATATTGATGTAAATTAGGCCCTATCAGCCAGATTCCTACATAGCTATGGTTAGGCTATGCATTCTTAGCTAAGTTTGAAGCTGGAAAACCCAGAAGCTAAGATCAAAACTGTTAAGTTGAAGATCAATAACCTTAGGTTATGTTACCTACGTAAATTATAAAAAAGTTGAAAAGTCGAAGAGCAGTGAAGCTTGCTCTGATGCCAGATGCTTATTGCCTTAATACCGTATTTTAATCTTTTATCCAGAAGGGGATTGATGGCGTCAGACTCTCAAATTCAAAAATTTCATAGGAAACATTTAAACGCACTGACATAAATAGCTTCGGTACAAAACATTACAACAGTGGCATGTGTATGGTCAAAAAATTCTTTTTGTCAGTAGTTTAGCATTGACTGAACACAGAAATAGTAAACTCTTGGACTTGAGTAGAGGGGCCATGTTCTTTAAGCAAAGCTTACGCCCAAACTGTTTGATTGGCTCTGAGTCTTAAATCCTCATTGAGCTGCGACTTGTTGCTCACAAACTAATTCTTGGCTTCACCCAGCAATCTCCTTCCCTATTGTCAGCAGGGTAGTGTCATCATCTGTATATGAAAGTTAGTGGCCCTGAAGATCTAAATTGTTGACAAGGATGACAAAGAGTTGGGGACCAAGCTCACAGACCCTTGAGGAATCCCATACTATAAATTAAGCGAGCACCTTCAACCTCCACCACCTGCTTTCTGTTTCTCAACAACTGCAAGATGTTAGGAGCAGTCAGGGATACAATGACGTTCGAGTTTACCAACAAGTAGCCTATCTCGTGAGAAATGCAGTCAAAGGCTTTGTTCAGATCGCACAGCAGATTCATGCATAGAAATGTACTGTTTGAATAAAGGACTTTTTTGTTTGATTTGAATCAACAAAAAATCCACTAGACTAAAGATTTTAAAGTCTTAGAATTATGGTCTTGTATAGTTTCAAACTCAATAATTCACTGTGTCTTCCTAATTGGCTTTACAACGATTCATCACAAAAAATGTAGGCCTACTTATAAAGAGACCTGCAGTGTGGCTGTGGCAATGGCGGATGGTTTGTTTGAACACTGAACTGGCTCCGTGCAAAAAGTGCTTTTTAAGGTTTCTAAATGAGTTTTTATTCTGAGGTGCCATCAAATCAGGGTGTGAACTTTCTGTTTATGTAACATAGTATTTGTTTTCGTTTTTTCTGTCGTAACAAAAGTATTTTCAAGAGGCTGACTCAGGCATCTCGAGCCTGTGGGATTTTTTTACCGTTTTTGACAACCCCTACCGGGATTTTTCTGTTTGACTGTCCCTACACAGGGATTTTCTTTTTTGTGATTATTTAGGAGTCATATTTTAAACTCAAAACGTTTTTAACTTTCGCGTAAAAAATGGGTAGACAAAAGGGCAAGAAGAAAGACGAAAGTAATGAGAGGTGTGGAGTTTGTGATGAGTCATGCGAGAGAGAAAATGATCGAGCTATTTGGTGTGATGGATACTGTAAACTGTGGTATCACATAGAATGTGTAAATATTGAGGAATCAGATTTCGTCTCTATAAACTCACTGGGCAACAAAATCAAGTGGCTGTGTGAGGCTTGTGTAAAACGTTTTGATGCAGTGACAAAAAGTCAGAGTGATCTCTCCGGCGTGGATACTGGTGGTATGCTGCAAGTTATCCTGGCTGAAACTGAAAATATCAGTAAAGCGAGTCTAGATATGTCTCACTGTGTGAAGATACTGAGTGAAAATCAGGATAGATTTAGTGAAAAAATAGTGAAGCTAGATTGTAGAGTTGCTGAAGTTGAGAAAAATACGGGGAAACATGCACCGGTGGCTGGTAATAGTAAGCCTGAAAAGAGGTTAAAGTCGGGGAAAGACAGGGATTTCCCTTTACCTGCATGGGGATCAAGAAAGCAAGAAACGAACAAGAAGGCCGTGGAGAATTCTGTAACGTCACTTGCTGTTGCTACGAAAAGTGTAGAAACAGAAAGTAGTTCCGTTGGAAACATACTAGAAAATGACGAAACCAGTGATGGTAGAATAAAAAATGCTGATGAAAAACTGAATGACAGTTTTAATGACGATGATTCCACATTTACCATGGTGGAAAGAAAAAGTAGACGTAGTTCCTCAAGAAGCAGCATGGCTGGAAAGCAAACGCGGAGGAATTTTGTGATTGGCTCCAAGGACATGAATGAAAACAACGAACTTGTTGGCAAAAGGCGTGCTTGGCTTTTCTTAGGTCGTATTCGTAAACATACCTCAGTGGATAAAATCAAAGAGTTTCTGTCTACCAGTTTTCCTGACATTGATTTTGAAGTGGAAAATCTTAACTCAAAGGGACATTGTGAAAGTTTCAAGCTTGGGACCGACTTTGAAAATCTCGACAAGTTGATGGACAGTGAGTGTTGGCCTAGGGATGTGATTGTGAGGCGTTTTTTCTTTTCACGAGGAAAAAAGCCACTGGGATAACATCCAGGAATCCAGAGACGAGGAAGAGGTTAGTGGAGAGGAAGCAGACTTTTAATTTCATACACCTGAATATACAAAGCATCCGTAATAAGGTTAGTATGCTGGAGGTTATCTTAACCCAAAAAAGTGCCAAAGCATTGTGTGTTAATGAACATTGGTTGACTTATGCTGAGGCTGAAGTACTTTATATCCCTAACTTTACGCTTGCTGCTACTTTCTGTAGAGATAGGGCTTATGGAGGTGTTTGTATTTTTTTACAGAAGGATATAATTTTTGTTGAAATTGATTTAAAGAAGTTTTGCATAGAACAGCACTGTGAAGTTGCTGCTGTCAGGTTGATAAATGAAGGTACAGTAGACTCTTGATAATTCGAAATTGGTGGGCCAAGCATATAAATTTGAATTATCAAGAGTTTTGAATTATCAAGAGTTCGATTTATCGGGAGAAAAATAAACCATTCGAATTACAGAGAGTTCATTTGTTTAATACATACAAAGGTACAGCACGTTACAATAAAACATCATACCGTATTTTAGTACACTTTTAAACAATCAACGGCTTATTTTTCAGTTACTGTAGTTGCAAAGAAATCTGTTATTTAGCGCTATATATTTCGCCAATAGCTGAACTATCAGCTGTCGACAACTACGTTTGTGCTCAAGGAGATGTCGCGCAATCTAGAGATCGGATTGCCAACTTTGAAAAACAAACAAGTCAGCGAACTAACTCTGACTACTGCTCTAACTAAACAAACATCAAAACGTCCAACACTAGCCTACCATGGGAACAGGATGTACTGTACTGTATAGTTTCCTGTTATAACAGGAAGAGATCACTTCGAATTATAGAGTGTTTTGCCGACTAAACTTCGAATTACTGCGTGACTTTGATTTATAGAGTGTTTTTTCGACGAAACTTCAAATTACAACATGACTTCGAATTATAGAGTGTTAACCGACGAAACTTCGAATTACTGAGTTACTTCGAATTATAGAGTGTTTTTCCGACGAAACTTCGAATTACTGCGTGTTACAAATTGACCTGCCCTCTATTTGGACTTTGAAATACCGAGTGTATCAAAATGCATGGTAAAAATTTGAAATATTGAGAGATTCTCTAGGGACTGAGCCTTCATTTTGAATTATCGAAAGTTTTGAATTATCAAGTGTTTGAATTACCAAGAGTGGACTGTATCATCTTAGTATCAGCTTACAGAACATCTAGTGGTAACCTAGAATTATTCTCTGCTAATATGAGTGAGATTTTAAACATGCTTTCTACCTACAAGTTAAGGATAGTTATAGCCTCAGATCTGAACCTAGACATTAGAGTACCTTCTAATAATGTGCGAGATTTTACTAATATGCTAAGGTCACACAACGTCTTTTGTATGAATTCCGAACCCACTAGAGGTGAGAACTGTTTAGATAATATTATTACAAATTTTTTCCCAGATCAACTTGAACTGAATGTTTTTGAAACACATTTATCCGACCACAGTGGTATATTGGTAGAAATTAAAAATATGAGCTCTGACTTTACAGCCCCCCCACCTGCCACAAACAAGGTATGCAGACCAATTTCTAGAAAAGGAATGGAGGACTTTAGGGCTCGGCTCCGTGAAACATCGTGGGACGCCGTAGTCAACGTTTCAGGTAATATAGACGTTGTTTTTGCCAATTTTCTGAACTTTCTGGTGTGTACCTTTGAGTGCTGTTTTCCTACTAGAGTTTTCAGGCCCAAACCGATGAAGAGGATTCCATGGTTTACCCCAGCTTTGGCTCAGGTGAGGGAGCGTGTGGTAATGTTACATGGTATTTACAAAACGACAAATAGGGATGCTGACAAGGCACGCTATGTGGAGGAGAAGAGGAGGTACCGACTGGAATGCTTCGGCAACTAAGGAGGCAATTTGTGCCTCAAGGATCCTGGAGGCCCCAAATCAGATCAAGGCAGCGTGGGAAATCATTTGGATTGAGAGTGGCAAAGAGGGAACCAACCTGGCTTGTAAAATTGATCCTGACATCTTAAATAGTTATTTTATAGACTCAGTGAAGGAGATTAGCGAGCACTGCTCGGCATCTATGGAGCAGGCCATGATCTTAGCAGCCAATAAAAGTAACAGGGGAATGGTTTTTTTCGAGTGGAGCATGGTCAGTAATGAGTTAGTCGAAAAATTAGTGATGAATTTTAAGGCCTCACCTAGTAAAGATTTTTACGGTTTCTCAAATAGATTGATTCGTGAAATACTTCCTGATATAATCTCACCGCTAACTCGCCTTATCAACAGATGTCTGGCAGAGGGGATTTTTCCTGATGTCTTGAAGTTTGCCAGGGTGGTCCCTGTGTACAAGAAGGGTCCCCGAGATTCCCCCTCCAGTTATAGGCCAATATCTCTGGTGCCTATACTTTCCAAGGTACTCGAGGCAGTGATGGTACATCAGCTGACTGTTTTTCTTGAATCAGGGGGGTTACTAAGTAGCCAACAGTTTGCTTACAGAAGTGGAAGATCAACCGTGGATGCAGTATGCCAGTTCTGTACCTTTGTAATGGACGCAATGGACAATAATGAGGTTGTAGAAGCGGTTTTTTGTGACCTGTCGAAAGCATATGACTGTGTCAGCCATCAACTTGTGTTGAGGAAGATGGAAAGTCTGGGGGTTTCTCATCAGGCTAATAGGTTGGTGGCAAGCTTCCTTAAGAATAGAAGGCAACTGGTAGTGGCGGATGGCAGAGAGTCTGGTTTAGAGAGGGTAAATATAGGCGTCCCCCAGGGGTCTATGCTGGGACCGTTGCTGTTTTTGGTTATGATAAATGACCTTGATTGCTGCATCCCGGGCAGAACCATTATCTATGCTGATGACACGACCATCATGTCCAAGCGAGCAGATTTTGGCTCTGCGAGGGAACAGACTGAGCTGTCATACAATGAAGCCAAGATCTGGTTTCAGGCCAACGGGTTAGCTCTTAACGAGGCGAAGACTCAACGTGTGTTTTTCTCTTTAAAGAAAAATGAAGACCAAGATGTGGCCAAATTATTGGGTTTCCACTTGGGCCCTAAGTTAGATTGGAAGGACCATGTTGAAGTAATTTTGAAGAGACTCAACAGAGTAATTTTTTTGTTAAGGCGACTGCAAGACAGCGTAACTCCTGACTGTGTGATGTATGCATATTTTGCCTTTTTCCACAGCATAATTGCTTATGGGATCCTCCTATGGGGACATGCAGCCAGAAGGGATGAAGTTTTCGCTAGGCAAAAAGAGGCTATAAGAACAATCTCAGGAGTGTGGAGTCAGCAGGAACACTGTAGGCCACTGTTTAAACGGTTAGGAGTGATGACTGTCCCCTGTCTTTATATGTCAGCTTGCCTGTTGTGGTGCAAAGAGGGTGAACATGAGCTTGATGTAAGGAGTGATGTACATGAGCACAACACAAGGAAAAAAGACTGCCTAAACCCCCCTAGATTTAGGCTGGCAAAGAATGTTAAGTCCTTCAGGTACAGCTCCTTTAAGATGTTCAATAGTCTGCCAGAAGACCTCAAGAACTGCAGTCTCTCAATCTTCAAAAACAGGATTAAGAAACTTTTTATAGAGCAGGCATTTTACTCTGTGGAGGAATTTTTCGAATTCATGGAAAGTAAGAAACAAAACCAGCCACTTCGCCAAGCCAAGTAAAAGTTTTTATTTTTTTTGCATGTGTGTGCGTTTTGAGTTTTTTTAACGACAAGGCCCATTCCAGTCTACTGGTCAACGGCTGCTTTCTTCAAGGTATCAAGGTAAGGTATCAATGTAAATTAAAAATAGCCTATATGTTTTAAAGAATTACCTATTAAGTTTTTTTTTAATTTACACCTTCCTACATAAAATGTATTTAGACTAGATCAGATATAAGTTAAGCTTTATTTGTGTTTCAGGATGAGTGAAGAGGATAAAATTGTTCGGGTACCTGGAGAAACTTTATCAATCAAGGTTTCTTCGGAGGAAGAGGCATATAGGAAAAAATATTTACCAGGTATGATTTAGCCTAGGTCCAATTTTAAAAGTTAAAAAATGTATTACTCCCATTGTAATTGGTTTACTTTGAACCAATCTAGAGTAGGCTCATGTAGGCCTATAATGATAGACAAAAATATAAGTTTCAAAGTTAAAAATGACTTAAAATTTCGGAAAGCATCACATTGCTTTGAAGGGTGGCAATGTATACTTTAATCAATATTTATAATTTTTTTTTCAGATCCCAAGAAACTAACAGATGAAAAACTAGTGTGCACAGTATGTTCCATCTCACTTGCACAGAATATTCACAAAGGAAAGGACCTCTATATCCATCGAGCTTTACAAGTTCTCGTGTGTGAGGTAAGTGTTAAATATAATTTAAATGTAATTCTTTAACCCTCCCAGTGTTACTTGACGAAAATTCGACAAGCAGCACACTTTGTGTAGTGTTACTTGTCGATTTTTCGACACGCAGACATCGTTTACGGCGAAGGCTCTATGACTGACTGAATCGGATTGAACTGGATCGAGTTAGGTATCGTTCTTTCCGTAATATTCTAAGCTTTCTCCAGAGGTCTGTCTCTAAGCGCTATTCATTTTAGTTCCGAAAATATTGTAGCAGACAGCTGACGTGCGTGTATTTGTAAACAGCTAGGTTCCCCCGGACCGATGACTGATGTGTTTTATTACGTTTATCATTGTTTTAGTGTTAAAAATCAAAAGTAGTGATATACGTGGTGCATTATAAGAAGATTTAAGTGGTTTTGAAGTGCTGGTTGATGATCCTGAAGAAGTAGGTAGTGATATTGATGTAAATTATCAGCCAGATTCCTAGCTATGGTTAGGCTATGCATTCTTAGCTAAACGCTATGTACTGAAATCAGTTTTTTGCCCATAACTTATTTATTTGCAAATCTACTTCCTTATATTATTATATATTTGTAATCCTCATAAAATTTAGAACAAAGTGGCTATTTTCAAATATTTATAGGCCTATAATTTATACAATTTCATTGAGCGTGAACTTATTTTTTTTTTGAAAATTTTCGAAATTATATTTTTTTTACCTAAAAATTTTTTTTTTTTAATGTTCCTTATGTTTTATATATAATATTGAAGCCCATGATTTTCCAAACAAAATGGTATATAGAACATTAGAATTAACATTGTTTTAAGCTTCTCAGATCCGTTTTAATAAAACCTTGCAAATGCGCCAAAAATAGGTGGACATTAAGGCCTAAACTATGGACACTTGGAGGGTTAAAATTACCAGATCAACTTCAATTTATTTGATTTAATTTATATGACTGGCAGTCTATAGTTAAAAACAATGCAAAAAATTATGAGCCGTGGGAAAGTTTAAATAGATGTTCACTACATAGCTGATAGCAAACATCCTTGGTTTTCTTTTTATGCAAACTTATTTTTGTACTTTTACTGCTTGTTTCTCACCCCCAACTCACCTACATCTTTCTAAAAACCATTTAAAATTGTTCTATGTCATAAACACTACAACTTTCTTTAATGACTTTTATGCCGCTGAGACCACCTTGTAGGCCCTACTAATAAAATATATATGAGCAATAACCCTAACCCAACTCACTAGGTTACCAGGTGGGAATTAAATGGGTCCACGGGAAAGACCTTCAACGTGGTTAATCAACGGGAAAATAGGGTAATTAGATGGGTGTAAGGGTAATTGGTAGTTTGCCAGAAGAATGGGAAATTCCTAAGAAATAAGGGTAATCCCCGAATTAGGGACATTTAGTCAATACCAACCTAAACATGGGTTCTTATGGTCCCTGTGTGTCACTTGGTTTGTTGGAGCGTTGCTATTGGTCTGTAGTGATATGCTGATGTGGAACACAGATAGGAAGGCAAAGAGTATTAATCTTACAAAATGGAAAACAAACTCATTTGCCCTATATGAAATTTTAATTTGAGCACAGAACTTATTAAGACATGGGGGGAACGCAGTTCGGGGATTATGCTGGATTCGTGGCTGCATTAATTTAAAATTGTTCTTTGAAGTTAGATAGGGTTTTAGATTAGGAAGGTTAGTGTGGGTTATAGTTAACTGGGCTGTTTGTTTATGTTACACTCATACAATTCTCCAACCATTGAAATATTCGGTTAAAAACAAGGCAATTAAAAAATACAAGCATTTTAAAAATTGTAACCTCATATAATGTAACGGAATTTAAAAATATTATGGCATTGGGTTAGGTTTGGTTGGTGTAGGACAGTTTCATTTTTATCAGATCGATTTTTGAAATAATACAGCAAGTTTGGTTAGGTTTGGTTCGCTTAGAATAGTTTCATTTTATTATCAATACATACTATTTCTGCTCAATGTTGAACAGTTCCTTGAAAAGCTACATGGTGAAAACTAAAGCGTAATACATTACTATTAAAAATCGGGAAATGGTGGGATAGACAGTGGGTGTTTGGGGTAATTAAGGGGTATTCCAGGGGTTTTTTTTTGTACTTCAACTTGTTGGATGCTGTCAAGGTCTCTTTGTCTAGAACCTTTTCCTTCTTGGACATGATCGGTCGCGCAATAATTGTGGACGCAGCGCATGTCGAGTGTGAGAATTGTGGTGCCGGTGTTTGTTTTACCGAATGTGTGCAAAAGTCCCATTAGGTCTCTTTATCATTCCTTGTGGCAAACAGGAACAGGAATTAATGAAAGATGTAGGAAAGTGTGTTCGTTGGACGAGAAATGTTTTGTTGTCACTGAATCGCAATTGGTAAACCAAAGAAGGCACAGTGTTCATAATATCTGTGTGTGGTTTTGGTTATTTTTTAGACCGCAGTAAATTATATGTTGAGCAGATATTCTTGTTGTGAGTAGGCTTACTGTTATTGGTGTTGCACGATTTTATTACTGAACTCAATTTTCCTGGGGTGTGTTATTGTATAAAACTGGTGTATATTGAGGTTTTGGAGGAACTTTTCTTTGGTTAGGTTTTATTTGACATTTTTGGTAAATTGTTGGGATACTATTTCCCCCCCCACTTATCCTCCAAATTTTCCATTCCATAAATTTTTTATAAATGCTACATTTCAGGGAGTGCATTTAGGTTGATTTGGCTGTTGTACATTGTTTATACATCAATTCAGGAGCCAATATCAGCTTCTGCTGTAAGCAATTTTAAGTTTTTTCTCAATTAAATGATTTGAACCTATTACCCTAATTGCATACACATGCTGAAGTAAATTCATAGCTGTCAATTATTTGACTGAACTTGTTTAATCTTGTGTTTGGTTGGGTAAAGAATTGAAGAGTAGGGCTATATTTGAAATAGGGGTGTGCGAGTACTCGAACCTTCGAGCTTTTTGGTCGAGCTTTTCATTATTCGGCTCGGCTCGAGGCATTTTGAAAAAGCTCGAAGTTCGAGCCGAGCTTTTAATACTAAGTCAAAACTAAAAAAAACACTTAATTTGGGTCGTAATTGGAAACAATGTTATCACAATTCTACGTTGTTCAAGCATTCGAGGTTTGATAAGCACGAACCTCAGCTCAGTCAAGACGCAATGATTATCGATCGTAATTTTGAGGAGATAGTAAAGAGACAAACTATCACCTATCGCGTTGTCTTTACAGCTATTCGTATCGTAATATACAACGCAGTGCGAGTGCGTGATTGGCTCGTCGCTATGACGACACACGGTTGCCGTGGCAACCTACAGTGCGCACTGAGCACTGCGCCTTGTGTGGGAGGGGAGATTATACCAACAAACAATTTCAGGAATTCTATTTTGGGACGGATGAAAGATAAGGAAGAAACAAAAAGTGGTCACGTGTGCAAATGTAGTGGGCGACACAATAAGGCTGTAAACAAGTATCAATTCGTTGTTCCTTGTTTGTTTACTTTTTCAGATTCCTTATCAAACGCCCCTATCTGCTATCTCTCTTTCTCTCTCTGCTCTCTCTAACAATGTACTGATTAAACAGATTGTGGTTGACGACTTTTCTACTTATAGGCCTAAGTTTCCCTGCGGTTATTTTAGTTCAATCAATCCCATAACCTTTCTAATGTTTATCAAAATAATTAATTATCTGTTTTGTATTTTATTTCCTTTAAACCAACCCCTATTTACCATCTGTATTTGATAGAATAAAATGTTTGTTTATAAAGTTTGACTGGCCACACAATTTTGTACCTATTTTATTTTGTATAAAGTAACAGTTACTTTGATCATTATTTAAATGTGCTGTAATGAATGCTTTTTATTATCAAAATAAGTAATGGATTATTAATTTTTGATAATACATGGGTCATTGAATACCATAATGTGATGTAGTTTCCTATTTGTAACTTGCAAATAATAATAATTGAGAGTTAATCCTGGAAAATGAAAAATAGTGAATGCATTCATAACCCTGTTGTCAAAACAGCACCGCGGGTGTAAGGGTTTATTGTTTCAGAGGCTAGGGTGTTTCAAGGACAAAGTGCTGGGCCTCCCGGCTCAGGGGGGGAGGGGTGGTGGTGAGACTGAGAGAGAAATGGGGGAGGAAACTGGTTTTGGCTATTTATTGATTAGTTCACCGACCCTTCTAGATAACAGAATTTAGTGACAGTGTTAAATCATCATGTTCATTATTTCATTTCTTGTTTACTTTGTGTGTTATTCTATTAATTTTAGTGTTTTGGTCTATTTCCTCTATATGTCAATTATATATTTTTTAATATATAATTTTACTTTTTACTTTGTCTCTTCACCTTTTTGGATCCAAACCAATCATGTTCTTTTTGATTAATACGATTCATAAAACAAAAATATTTTAACAACAAGAATAATCACGTGTTTTTATTTATTTATTTATACAAAATGGAATAAAATATTCATAGTAGTTACAATATACATATTTAATCGACTTGCTAGTTGTTTTGTTGTCATTCAAGATAGCGCTGTTCTGTTATGAAAGACAATCTGATTGGCTCAGTCTGCACTGCATATCTCGTCAGGCCTTCAATCATATCCTTTTATTTCTTGCATCTTAATTTAGTTCAGTTCAGTTCTTATCGTGATTATCTACTATTTGATGTCTTGACAATTCTCAATGTTTTTAGACATATTAAAATAATATTGTGTTTATTTAAAAATTGACTGAACATTATTATTATTATGCACTTTTTGAAGAAAAATGTTTAATAATTTATTTTTTTGATAATGTTCAGAATTCAGAATTATGTTTGAAATTCCAGATAGGGTTAGTTGCAAAACATCTTTTGCTGAAAATAAAATCATAACACTCTCTAATATTTTCATTTTTTACAATTTAGTTTCCGTTAAAGAGAATCTGAATAAATTTGTTCCTTGCAACTCAATCCATGGGTATATCACCAGACAATCAAAAGATTTATATATTCCTCAAGCCAGGCTATCAAAATTTATCAAAAGTTATAAATACTTGCAAATAAAACTATTTAATAAACTTCCAATATATTTTAGAAATCAGGAAAGTATTCATTTGTATAGGTCAAAATGATCAGATTGGCTTACAAGTCGTGCTTTTTATTCAGTTGATGAGTTTTTGCAGAATGAAGATTTTTTAACGCTTAAATGTGAGGCCAAGTAGTCTTGATGATTCTTTGTTCTTGTTATGGTCTTTTCCCTGTTAATTTTAAAGTTTTTATTATTACTGATGCTTTATCCTTTTAACTTTATTTTAACATTTTCTGTAGAATATTTAATATTTTATTTAACATATGTAACAAAACATGTTGACCTTGTCTATTGTAATGTTTATATTACCAAACGACAATAAAGATTTATTATTATTATTATTATAAGGTGACGCTAGGAAAAGCTCGGCTCGAAAAAGCTCGAGCTCGAAAATATTTTAAAAAGCTCGGCTCGGCTCGGCTCGAGGTTGAAAATCACTATTCGCACACCCCTAATTTGAAAGCGTGTTTTATTTGAGCAATTATAATATAGGTACCGGTATATAAAGTTAATTCAACTCGCAGCTTTAAAAGTCAGTTAATCTGTTTCAATTTTCAATCCTCTCGTCCTATTATGTCCTATTCGCATAGTTATTTGATTTTAATATTGTAGCCTAAAGCACAGAAAACATACTACTATAACCCAGAATGCCAACCGCATGGTAAAAAGCATTAAGTGTTTTGAGAGAGCTTTGCCTGTCAATCGTAGGCAGCGCCACCAGCGTTGCTATGCTGAGTGCATGGCAACGCTGGTGGCGCTGCCTACGATTGACAGGCAAAGCTCTCTCAAAACACTTAATGCTTTTTACCATGCGGTTGGCATTCTGGGTTATAGTAATATGTTTTCTGTGCCTAAAGTTAATATGAACTCAAAAAATAAAACAAAATAAATGTTGTAATTTCATTTTATAGTTGTGTTACTGTACTTAATTTTTTAGTGAGTGAAAAAGAAATTCAGTGAAACATTAATTATTCAAGACACAAACTATATATCACATTGTTATGTTAAGGTAATCATGAAATTGCATGTTAAAAAGTGTTCAGTCAGTACCTAAACACAGCTTTAGTCAGATAGAACAACTGTTTCAGGCTTGTTACAATTTCTACGGTGATGGTTGTTTCTCCGCTGATGAGGATGGAGATGACAAGTATTGCAGATGGTGTGGTCAAGGTGGCACTCTCTATTTGTGTTCAAAGTGCAACTGCGGTTTCTGCCAGGTAACTATCTAAGAATTAGATACTCTACTAACCCATGGAGCGAGCTACTCCCTACAGTGACCCTCTAGCCTAGCCTGAAGTAATGTCAAAAACAATTCCAGGCTAGAGCCTAGCATCCTAGGCTAGTTACTTTACTTCTGATTTTATTCTGTTAAGTTTCTTCAGATTACCTTTTACCATAGAATGATAGTGATATAGGCATGATGTAAAATCTAAAGACTGTTTATATGTCTGTTTCTTGTCTGTGTTTCAGTGCATACATACCGTAATCTATTTACTTCATATTTAATAACAAATATTGACATTTCAATGACATTTTAAAGCCTCGAACTTGGGAATTCAACTTTAAACTCAACTGATTTGTCAATTTGAGAACTCAAAGAGAAATTCTGTTTCAGAAATGCACGAAACAAAATTTAAAGGCGTCAGTTCTTGCCGAGTTGGAAAACGATGATTGGAAATGCTACATCTGCAATCCTCGGCCTCTCTTCGGCTGTAGAACGATTTGTTGGGGAGCCCAGCAACTCAACAAAATTGGAAAGTAAGGGAAATTTAACCATGTGATAATATTATTAATAATTAAGAATCCAAGATATTTAGTTTTTATAACTGAATTAGACCCCCTTTGGACCAACTGTAGCCAATCTTTTACTTTAAAATACTCTGTTAAACGAGCCACAGAATGTGTTATAGTCTAAAATTCTATTTCCTCTCGTACTGGTTGTTATTTTGATAGTTGATATGACCTAAAACAAAAGGTGCTAAATTTACAATAAGTTGTCATTTCAGTTGTTTGGTTTAAAGGTAAGTCTGTAATAGAGACGCCAAGTTGAGGGTAAGTTAATGTTGAGGGTATTTCAAAGGGTTAATATGGGTAATTTATTTAATGGCAAGAAAATTTATCATGGCATGGTGTTTTATTTATCAATAACAGTAGTAGAACTTTATCCACAAGTTTACAAACTTCAGTAGGCCTACCTCATTGCTGACAAGGGGACTTAACACGTTCAATGCGGGTGACGAGTAATCTCGTCATCGCTGGTGCTGCCAAGCGTCACGCGACGAGTATACTCGTCAAAGCACCACTACAAAATTATTGCCTCGATATGAGCTGAGCCGTCAACAGAAGATGTTTTTCATCGCGCTATATTAAGTAGTCCTTTGTGTTTCCTCGGACGGCGTTGTTCCCGTGGTGCACGGTTTTTGTTATTTGTGTGTATATTTTTGTGTTTTAGTGTGTTATATGACGCAAGTGTTGTGCAATAGTGAATATAGCTAATTCTTCACGGATTGATGATTTTTTCACTGAAGATGAACTAGGAGATACGGACAACAACTGTTTACAACACAAACTAAGGATTAATTTTTGGTTTTACATGGCAGCAGGACGGGTGCGGCGCATAACGAGTATTCCTGTCACCAAAGCTGACGACCACCATCCAAAACAACATTTGGGAAGTTAATTTGAGTTTTCATATTTAGCCATACGATAGCTAGCCAATTTCGGTGTCACATTGAACGTGTTAAGTGATTTTCTACTAAATAAATCGTCACATTACAATTCTACCAACTGCCATACCTAAAACAGTTAATAAATGTAGCCTATCTATCTATGAATAAGAAATACTTCGCCTAATTAATTTCCACGTCCCTCGACACTTCAGGCATATTCAACTCTTCAACAAAGCTTCCTTTTCTACAAACTACGCCTTCCACAGTACAATTCCACGGCTCCACAGGCTTGGAAATCAAGCATGCCAACATGTTGATATGTTCACCTGCAAACTAAAAGCTATTAAAAATATCCTAGTTTAAGCTGTTATTGTTATGTGGTCGATGAGAATGTGTCCTGAGGTCACTGTCTGGATTTTGCTGCCTTGTTTGTTTGTTACACTTTCACAAATATTTATTGCAATGTTAACATTTTTTCACTCAGTTTACGTCACCGTTATTATAATTGTCATGGTTTTTTTGTCTTGTCTGTCAAATATATTTATATTTTTGCTCGTTACTGTTATTATATTAAAATATTTATCAATTGTTATCTAGATTTGGTTACTGGTATTGTTATTTTTCTGAAAATATTTATGCATGTTACTATTGTCTAGCAATTAAGATGAATCTGTATCTGGCTTATATATGTTTAGAAGTATTTATATTGTAACTTGAATCTCATGTATCATTGACTGTAAAAATGGTGTTTACCGTATAAATAAATAAATAAATAAATAGAACAAAACTTAAACTATTCAATTACCATACAATATAGGTCTAAACTTTTGCAAAATGCAGTTTAAAAGAATTGTAGACATAGATTGTAACTTAAATCTACAAACTACATTGCACTTGCCTATAAAACTTTAAAAATGTTTTTAAATTTTCAAATCAATACTGTAGTTGTGATTTTAATTTACAGAGAAAAAGAAGCAGAAAGGTTAAAAAAGATCAAAGAAAGGCTAGAAAAAATGGAAGCTAAACAGAAACAACCAAAAGAAAGAAGATCGAGAAAAGCATCATCAAGTGAGGTATGTTCATTCTTAAGATTATTTTGGTTTTTTGATTTTTCAGTTTTACATTTTTGGAATCATTCGGCTCTCTTGAGTATTAAAATATTAAGTTTTTATTGTATTAAAAATTGTTGATTTTCTAGCTTCTATTAAAATTTAAAAACGTAAACCTTACCTTTGTAGAGCTTTTAATATTGTCGAGTTTAAAAGATTTACAATAAAACTGAATGGAAAAATAAAAAGTAATATATAAAACATAGGATAATAGATTGGTGTTACTTTTTAACTCTGTTTAGGTCAATAAGATCAAAATGCAGTCTGTACCTATTTCAGTTATTTGACAACAGACAGATTGAATCTGGACCGACTGATAACTTTGATTTTTGAGCAGTTTCGAGTTTAAACTTAAAGATCAAATTCAAAACTGAAACTTTGGCTCAGTGGTTTTGATATTCAAGTTTTGGTTTTGACACATCATTAATGTATAACGTGTATTAAGTAAACAAAGTTTTCCTACGGCCGTTTTTGAAACTATCCGTTTCAGTTCAGTTCTTAGAATTGAAAAGATTCACTTTTTTTAATAAATTAACAGCATTGTTTACTTACTCAACAGCATTTTTTTTTTTTTTTACTTAACACTACGGGTAACGGACTAATGAGGTTCAAGGATTGAGAGAAAAGTAAGTAAAATTGTAATGCTTCGAACTTCAATTAAAAATTGCCAGAACACTGCTACTAAGTTTTATGTAAAATACCCCCGCCGCAGCAAACCTGCCGTCTAAGCGAATTTCCATTTGGCTGAATTGATTTTCAATTGATCTATTTAAATAACATTAGGTTTAAGGAGTACCTAGGTTTGCCGCTACAAGGAAACTAATAAAGTGTGTGTTTTAAGTAAAATAATTATTGCTTAGCATAAAATGGATATATTTGCCAAGTTTGATCAAAAGATATCCATAAACAAGCAAACTACAACATTTTACAATATTCTCCATAAGAATAACATGGGAATTTTAAATTTACCATTTTTTTAGTTTTCTCCGCAACCAATAACCGTACAAAAACACTTTGATATACTGAATTGTTTGTTTTTTAAAGCTCTTTAAGAAGGTTTAGAGAAAAATTGGGAAATTTTGTGTTATGAGGGTCAAAAGTGAGAAAAACCAATTTTTACCCCATAAAACCCTGTTCCCATGGTCCGATCATGCTGGATCGCGAACTCATTCAAGTTTATCCTGCCTTACACCTTCAAACCAAATTTCATCGAAATCAGATAAAAATTACTCAAGTTATCGTGTTCACGGACACACATATATATATAACAGATTTATAATATTAGTAAGATATATATAGTATATAATATATACATACATAAAAATTTGAACGAATGGTGTTTTTGGCCTCTGGGGACACCAAAATGAAAAAGTAAATCGGTCCCAGGCCTAAGTCTTACCATGAGACCTACGGTAATAGCTACTTCCCTATAGGGAAATTCGCTAAAACATAAATTTTCCTTTATTGAGAAAATGCCAATGTTAAGTTCTCATTGGCCCATATATTTTATGAGAAGTAAACCACAGTGTTATTCTTTGATTTTGAGAAGATCATCAAATTTAAACAATCAGTAGCATTTTATTTGCCATTTCCTGTCTAAAATAATAACAGTTGTTTTAGATTTTAAAAACAAGAATGTTTCTAATTGTTGTAGGCCTACTCTTTTATCTAATTATTTCCATTTTGCTTCAGGATGAAGGAACAAGAAAAAAGAGAAAGAAAAGTTCCGATGAAGACAGTTTATCGCCGCCAGAGGTTATCTCGGCACCTAAAAAGAGAAAGCTCGAAAATAGAGAAAAAAGAGCGAGTAGAAGTATGAACGGTAGCACAAGAAGAAGAAAAGACTCAAGCTCAGATTCAGATGTGGAAGAAGATAAAAAAGTTACTAGGAAATCTAGAAGCAGTATTAGAAAGGAAAAGATTGTTGAGTCTAGCTCTGAAGATGAGTCTGACCACAAAAGAAAAAAAGAAAAGCTTAAGAAGAAAGGTAAAAAGAAAGACGATTCTGATGAATCTGATACTGGTAGGAGAAAACCAAAAAGAGGATCAACAAAAAAGAAAAAGAATTCAGACAGCAGCTCATCTGAAGATGAAAAATCAATTAAGAAAAATAAGTCTGTCAAAAAGAGGGATGATTCATCAGATTCATCAACTGGGACAAAAAAGAAGAAGCAAATTAAGAATAAGAAAAACCATTCATCAAGTGAAGATTCTTCTGACGAAAGAAAAAAGAAGCATAAGAAAATCATCAAGAAAAAAGAATCTAGTTCTAGTGAAGAAGGCGAATCATCTAGGAGTCCCAAAAAAACAAAGGCTAAACCAGTAAAAGATGTAAACAAGAAACAAAAACCTGCTGATTCAGATAATGAATCGCCTAAAGTAAAAAAATCAACAACTGATACCGAAGATGTTATTTCTCAGTCAGCAGAAGATGTACTTGTAAAGAAAAGAATCAAAGTTGCAATTTTGTGGCTAAGCGCAATGGTCAAAGACATTTCTGAACTCGGTACACTTATATCTTTACGAGCAGCAAAGTTTAGTAAAAAGAAAATAAATACTGAAAATTTGAAAACTTATGAGGATGTCTTGGAATGTGTAAGTAAAATCAAACAGCTTATTAATGGTGTTCATCAAAATTATGATCACATAGAAAAGACTCTTAATTCACATTTAAAACCATGGAAAATTATGACTGGCTTAGAAGATGCTGAAAGTGAAAAAAATGCTAATGCAGAAGGTTCTATGGTGATTGATGAAAAGGATTCTACAACAAATGAATCTGCTGTCAAACCTCTTGAAAACAAATCTCAAACAAATGGTACGATGAAAGAGTCAAAGGAAGAAAGTTCCATCGATAAAAATGATGAAACTCTAAACAATTGGAGCGATGACTCTGATGACCAAAATGAAACAAGAGCCTTGATTTCAAAGGCAAACGAATCTTTAGAGAAAGCTCAAATTGAAGATAATCTATCTGACACCAATAAAAACAGTCCTGAAGACAAAAAGAGTGAGAGTAAAAAAGTGGAGAGCGAGGATGAATCTAGTCCAAAATGTGATGCATCAGAAAAGCCCAGCAACGAATCTAAGGTTGAAACGGTAATTGTATTTCTTACTTTTACTAATCATATTGCCCGATAGCATAGCCTCCTCTCACACAAGGTTGCAGCGTTGGTGTGTTGCAACTTCGCACCAGCCGGCCTATTGCCAATGAAATAACACTAATATAAACATAAACATTGCACAGACGTTCCATTATCCATTAGTTCAACAGGTCTTTCAGGAGGACAGGACTATGGTGTTGCCACTTTTGACTTTTCACAGCCTTGTATTAGAGGAGGCTACGCTGATAGTTATATACTTGTAGACATAACAGTAATGGCTAAAGACTTTTTCTTGATATCTTATTTTTCCATTTTGTTTAAGTTATTCAGTACAATAAAACTCTTTAACTAAACTAACTCCAGCCATCCGAATCACTTACCGGTACAGTAAGAATTTTTAGACCTAAAACTACAGTAATAAGATGTATAAAATAACAAAGAATTGTTACTAAGAAGGTAGAAGCCAAGATCACGGCAAAAATTCTGATAATCTCCCGCGACTGTTTAGACATTATCATCTCCCTTGGTCATGGAAACGCCATCGTCATTGTGCGCGATCAAGTCAATAGCGGTTTTCGGTCGCTCAATTATTGAAGCATTTTAGGTTTTGTGCATTTTAGGTGTTTTTATTGATGACATTCCAGTAATCCAGCATTTTAACTTATACAGTAGACTCTCTTAACCGGACTTGATCGGCAGGAAGTGGGCGGTACTGAAACGACTGTTCTCGGAGGAAAGATTTGAGACCAGTGATCACGTGTCTAATACAGTGCTCTCCTAAATTGAAATCAAATATGTATACAGTATGCATTTAAATGGTCCGTTTTAACGAGTTTTTGGGGATGTCATTTGGACTGGCCTCGGTCCCGGGGAGCCTGGATAAGAGGGAGTCTACTGAATGGCAGTTCACGGTCCTATATCTCGGATTACTGAGGGTCTACTGTAACTTAAAATCAAATCAAATGATCTTTGTTCACTTTATACAATTTGTATAGGCACAAAAATGAATAGTATCAAGAACTTGTAAAGAACACTTATTTGTGAGTGTGAGTAATATAAAGTGTAAAACTTTTTTTATTTACCAATAGTAAAAAATGCATACAGTAACAATAAATGGTATTAGCAATCTGACACATACTTTCTCCCATAAGCTTTTCAATAACCTTTATCATGGGTAAGCGGTGTACCATGAACTGCCAAAGTTCAATACCAAGCTCTCAAAACAGATTAGATGTGGTGCTGTGACATTCAGGGAAGATATAATAAATCATGTTAAATCTTAATGTGAATTCAAACTGATTTTTCTTTTGTGGAATATGATAATTCCTACTAGCAAAGCTCAGTGACAAGGCAGTATACCTTAAACAACAACAAAATACTCATTAGATTTTCAAATACATATTTTCTATGTTTTAGCAAAAAAAAGATCCAACTAAGGAAAGTGAAGAGTCAAGCGAGGATCCAGAAAAGTCAAATGAAACTAAAAAGGATTCAGAAAAGGAGGAAGAAAGGTAATACAAAATTACTAAAATTTATGTGGATATTACATATTTACAATTTATGTGGATAGGTAGTCATCTACATTGTAAATGAGATTGAAAAGAGAAATTCAATAGTGAAATATTTGTTTGTCCTTAAATAAAGACTGTTGCTACTTGTTTGTGTATTTTGTTTAGTTGTGATTTTAGTGGGGTTGTGTCAACTACATAGTGTTGGGATAGGCAGGTCTACACAACGGGAACTGTAAAAACTATAGGGGAATTTATGGATGCGTGAGTTTTTGGGAATTATGCAGGAATTTCCTCAATATTACGATGTTGAAATAATTACTGTAGCTGCACAAGTGACAGTAGACAATTATCAACAAAACACAGTGGTTAACCGTTCATATTGAGCTATCTATATAAATAATATTAGAGTTTTGTCTGTACATTGATCAGAATTATATATATATTTGATTTGTTTATATGTTGCACTCAGCATAGCAACGCTGGTGGCGCTGCCTACGATTGACAGGCAAAGCTCTCTCAAAACACTTAATGCTTTTTACCATGCGGTTGGCATTCTGGGTTATAGTAGTATGTTTTCTGTGCTTTAGGCTACAATATTAAAATCGAATAACTATGTGAATAGGACATAATAGGACGAGAGGATTGAAAATTGAAACAGATTAACTGACTTTTCAAGCTGCGAGATAAATTAACTTTATATACCGGTACCTATATTATAATTGCTCAAATAAAACACGCTTTCAAATACAGTCCAACCTCAGTATAACGAATCTGAAGGGACCGAACTGAATATTCGTTATATCAAGGATTTCGTTAAAACGGGGTTCGTTATATAGAGGTTAGGTTTGCAGGAATTTCGCTAAGTCGAGGTTCAGAACCAGCGTCGGTCAATATAGGTCGGGATTTGACCACATTAAAATACAATTAAAGTAGCATAGGCTACAATACTTTACAGTACAGTGTTTACATTGTACAGTAGAACCTAAATTATTCGGCATAATAAAGGGGAGAGATCTTGAATATTGCGCAATCATGACAATGGCATTGACCTTGGTATAAATGGTATAGGTTAAAAGCTGTAAGTTTAAAATCACAGCTTGTTCTAATCCTCCTAAAACCTAGCCAAACACTGTATTAGGTAGTCATAAACCATGTAAAGAACAAAACAAAACAGTAGAAAGTTTTGTAAGCTACTGCCCGCGATAGGCCGGTAGGCTACTTACGGTACAGTACTGATTTATCACAACAGAGGAATGTCAATAATAATCATTAACTATAGCATTGGTGTTGCTAGTTGAAACAAATCGTATTGAAAACAATAAATTATAAGTCATTATAAAAGTGTATAATCATAGCCAACTTAAGGATAATAAAAACACTCGTAAAAGGAATGTTAAAATAACGATGTTACTATTCTTTCTCTTTGGTTTGTGTTCGCCATAGTTATCCCATATCGCCCTATCACAGCTTACTAAACATTACGTCATCAGTCCTCAGAGAATGAACTCAGTTCTCAGTTGCAACATAGCGCGCGCAGTGACAGCAGACAAAGATGTAAAACGGAGCAGACGAATGTTAGCGCAAGCGATGACGTGACCTTTCCATTTAATTTGATAAAGAAACAGATTTTCCCAAAACAATAACTGGGTGGGGGATATGTTATATCGAGGGAAAGACGTAGACAATTCGTTATGCAGAGGTTAAATTCGCAATGTAGAGGTTCTGACAATGACAAATTCGTTATATTGAGGTGTCTTATTTTAGCCGAAATCACGAAAAATTCGTTAAATCAAGGTCGTTGTTATGGTTTGTTCGTTATGTAGAGGTAAAATATACATTTTGTCTTATGGAGAGTTCTAGGGGATTAAAAAAAAATTCGTTATATCAAGGAATTCGTTATATCGAGGTTCGTTATATCAAGGTTAGACTGTATAGCCCTACTCTTCAATTCTTTACCCAACCAAACACAAGATTAAACAAGTTCAGTCAAATAATTGACAGCTATGAATTTGTTAACCCTCCCAGTGTCAAACATCGATGCATCGATGGTAATGACACGCTCTGGGGTGTCAAGCGTGGATGCATCGATGGTAGTGCAGACGGTTACATATTGTCTTTTAACTCAGTCAATTTCAGTCCGATTTGGACTGGATTGATATCACTGTAAACAGCAGAAAACTGGCTTTCTTCTGGTGTCTGTTTCACAACCTTACTTTTGTTTGTCTGTTTCCAGATGTTTTGAGACAAAGACAATGTTTTGGTTGCCGTGTTGCGTGTTGTTGTTGTTTACAATTTGTTTGTTACTATATTTTATTTATTGAAAACTGATTTTTATCTGTTTATACTACATATTTAGATGTACAAAATAATCAGTGATGACTAACTTGTTGGTTTGATGTGTTTGAAGTAATATATTTGAAGGTTATGTGTAATGGCAGTAAAGTCATTGTAATAGGCCTAGTGAGTGATTTTGCTACTATTCCTCGATCAAATTTATGACTCTTGGCTGTCCTAAAAATTAAGTTAACCATACTAAAGTTCATATTTTCTTTTTCGCTAAAATATTTAGAAATAAATGGCTATTTCAGATTTTTCATTTAGTTACAATTACTCATAAAAATAGGGGCACGAACATTTTTTTCATATTTTTATTTTGTATTTTTTATCCTTCTAAGTACTTTTAGCGAATTTCCCTATAGGGAAGTAGCTATTACCGTAGGTCTCATGGTAAGACCTAAGCCCGGGACCGATTTACTTTTTCATTTTGATGTCCCCAGAGGCCAAAAACACCATTCGTTCAAATTTTTATATATCTATATATAGAGATATATATATATATATATATATATATGTCCATCCGCACGATAACTTGAGTAATTTTTGTCCGATTTTCATAAAATTTGGTTTAAAGGTGTAAGGCGGGATAAACTTGAATGAGTTCGCGAACCAGCATGATCGGACTATGGGAACGGGTGTTTATGGGGGGTTTTATGGGGTAAAAATAGGTTTTTCCCATTTTTGACCATAAAAACACAAAATTTCACAATTTCTTTTTAAACCATTTTGTAGAGCTTAAAAAAACAAATAATTTAGTATATTGAAGCGTTATAATGCGCCTAACTGTTACGGAGAAAATTCAAAAAAATTGTAATTTTAAATTCCCATGTTATTCTTATGGAGAATAAGTCAACTGTTGTAGTTTGCTTGTTTATGAACATATTTTGATCAAATTTGGAAAATACATTTTGTACTAAACCACAGTACTTTTTAACATTTTACATTTAAAAAAATTTTTACCCTCCCTGTTGCAGCAAACCTAAGTACTCACTAAACTAATTCTGTTTAAATAGGGAATAAGTGTGATATTTTTAAGGAGACATTTTAGTTTAAATCCAATCAGGCAAATGGAAATTCGCTAAGTCTGCAGGTTTGCTGCGGCGGGGTATTTTATGATAAAATAGTTATAAAAATCAAATTATTTGTGCTGAATCATAATGTGCATATATTTAGCTGCACAAAAATATATAACAAGGTATAGTTATTTTACAAAGTAGATTTGTTACATTTAATAAATATTACTGTAAAATGCCCAAAAATCGTCTGACACCACACAAAAAATGACCGACACCAGGAGGGTTAAGGTACAATACTGTACAAATTTTAAGATTAAAATCCTAACCAATAATTATTATAACATTCGGTCATTTACTGGATCACAACTTTGGGTATTCCAGATTAAGAGCTTGTTAGGAAATAAAAAAATCATCAGAAATCATGAGGATACACCATGACCAGCATTTGACAGTGATTTAAATGTCATGCTAATTTACATGATGAAAAGTGGTAATTCACCAGAACAAAATATATTTTAATGATCCTGAAATGGTTATTTTTATTGCACATCTTTATCCTGAAAGTCGTGAATGAGTTATTTGGTGAAAAGGTTTACAATTTTAAATTTGCTAATTATATGCGGTCTTTTACTGGTGCAATAATTTATGGACATACAGTAGAACCCCTCATATTAGACCACGACGGGACCAGGCCAGGGTCAGAACGGCGAAATGGTTGGATATCGGAAGAAGCATAACTCGCGGTCTCGGCAATACTAACTGGTAATCGTCGCCTTTCAGCATGTCTTTAATCGTCTCCTGCAACCTGTAAGCTTAGTTTTCCTTGACTATGGCACATCTTATGAGCATATCTTGTGGTCGTGGCGACACCAATAATCATCTTCCCTCCATGGCAACACCTGTGAGCGTATTTTAATATATAGCATATCCGCAGACATAGGTAATTGCCTCCCGCGACCACGGTAACACCGGTGTGCTTGTCTTGCAGTCTCAGTGACAACCATGATCACATTTCGCAGTCTCAGCGTTAGCGGTGATCCTCTGCTGTGATTATGGCAACACCTGTATTTGCCGTTCGGTTAACCAAACGTGCCCGGCGTTATTTCCCCATTCCGGAAAGAAGTAGACGGTCGGATATCCCAAGGAGTTGCTTATGTCAAGGCCATATACGATGGGTTTTACTTTAATGATTTTGTTGGAGTTACAACATCATCCAATTTACTTATTACCTGTTTTATAAAATCATATGTTATATATCTAGTTTTGTTATGATAAAAAAGTAAATAAAAGTTATTATTGTGTGAGTGTTATTAAAGAATAGTTGATTCAATTTTAACAGATTATGAGACTTAATTAAGTGAGGAATATGGAAAGAAATATGAGTAATCACATTGAACTTTTGAACAGAAATAATTATGACACATGGAAAATGCAGATGGAAGCAATTTTAGTTAAAAATGATTTACTTGGGTATGTGTTAGGAACCATTAAAAGGCCTCTAGAAGAAGGTGAAAGAATGACTGCTTGGCTAATCACTGATGCAAAGGCAAAGGCAGATATAATCCTCTCTATCAGCCCAAGCGAATTAAAGCAAGTGAAAGGATGTAACACTTCAGCAGAGATATGGGAAAAATTAAAAGGCATTTA